GAGACGTAGACTAGAGTGACGAGCGATGTTGAACGATATGAACGAGGTTACGCAGGAGTAAAAAATGACTGGACGAGGTGGTCAAGAGTTCTCGTTTTTATATGTTTCTCGCCGAGAGAAAACTTGAAGATCATTGGTTGATCGCGAGGTGGAAAGGGACCTTAGGAGTCCCGGTCATACCCAGTGTCACAGGTAGCAAGAAATCCCGGAAAAGGCGACCGAAGGGATGCGTGCTGGCGACCCTGTCATAAATTAAGGAAATGTTGCCGATGAAGTGTGCGTTATCCGAAATTGCAGAAATTACTTTATTGCCGGAAAAGAGACGGCTCGAAGGAATTAGAAATTTAGAAACTGCAGGCGAAGGCTCTACGAAATTGGAGGCCCAACGAACGTGACTTTTGTCAATTGCACGTCGTTCGTTGAAGGACCGTCAATTTGTCACGCTGCACCGAAGGTTCCCCGTAAATAAACTGTTTTTTAGGGATTGAAGAAAGGTAGTCCGTCCCGGAGAAAGTCGGGCGGGCACAGCTGGAAAATTCCGTTGCAAGACGGAACAGTAATATAGTTTGAGATTCAACCTTATCAGAGACTTCTCCAGGTCAGCGGAAAGTGAAGAAAATTTCCAAAAAATAAAGGGAAATTAATTAACACTTATTTATACAGAATTCGATATTCTTTCATATTCTGATATTAAAAATATAGTATTTCATTTAAGGAAAGAAAGTGGACTTTCAAATCTTCGAAAATACCACCACCTATAAAAAAAATAAAAACACTACGTTGTACCTCTTTAAACCATGCAACTTTTGTATTCAACATTTTTTTGTCCACCGCATATTTTGGAAGTTGCAGGATATGTGCAAGTTGCGTGAACTATTCTATATGTATATTAATCACAAATGTTAAGTTTTTTACAAAAATATATTAAAGACCGTAATGAATGAATTTTTTAAAAAATCCTTTACAATGATCTATCGAATCATATCGAATGTATCAAATACAGTATTATTTGCTCTAATACTGTAGCTCGTTCACATTAAATCTGACCTTTTAAATATTTGATTAGCCTTTTAAACTTTCGTAACGATTAACATGTAATTTAACCGCCATCGCGAACTATAACTAAACTTTTAACACATCATACTACTGTTCTGCATTCAAAGCTAGAACATAGTTAAGACAAAACGTGAAGGAACATTTTTTTTTTTTTAGAGATAATGGCGTTTGCTCTTTTCTAGGCTGTACTTCCGAAAGCGGACCACACACGATTTGACTGAAATTTTGCAAATAGCTTCAGTTTAACATGAAAACAATGTTCGCCAGAAAGATTTTCCGCGACCAAAATTTTGCGAAAAATCTTTTCATTATTCTAGTGTCACTCCCTGTAATTTGGAAAAGTTCGCTTTCTTTGATTTCGCTGAAATTCTGAAAACAGATACACTTTAGATAAAAACGTATGCGAGAAGAATTTTTGGTGATTCTCTTGCAATTGAGTTAGGTCTAGGTTAAGTCGTCAAACACTGTTTTTATATTTAAAAAAAAGAATCTGTTTTCAGAATTTCAGCAAAGTCACGGCTTTGGATTTTTCAAAATTACAAGGAGCGACATTAAAATGATAAAATGATACAATTTTAGGCCTCAAGTTTCGTGTCGCGAAAAATCCTACCGGTAAACATTGCTTTTATGTAAAACGAAGTGCGACCAGTTTTCGGAAGTTTCGCCGTTTTCTCGATACTATTGCATTTTTCTGCTATAAGTGGACGAAGCAATTCTTTGTTCATTCTTAAAAATGATTTCCTATCATAGCAGATATATTTGCTCAAACCCAAACCAATTTCAATTCTGTACCTCGTCTTTGAAGTAGTAGTTACTTGAAAATGTCGTAAAACTGATTCCCACCCCTCTCTTTCAAATAAATATTATTCAATGCTCTCACTCTGTGATGGTACATCTCACATAACGCATGGGACATGATCACGCTTCTGTGCGTAATCGGTTTCCCGAGAATTGGCAAGAAATGTAAACAAGGCGTTCGTGTCGTCGACGCTACGATTGGTTGTTGACCGTCGATATTCGGGAATGCTATCGAGTGACACTTGAAAGAGGACCCTCCTATGACGCATAGAAATACATACATTATAATAATAATGTATGTATTACATTATAATAATATTATATTAATAATATATTATATATATATATATTAATATTTAATTAATAATATCATCATACCAGTAAAATGAAATTTACTTCGATGAGATCGAACGAACAGAAGCCACAATAAATACGTTATCATGAAGTACGAACTATGTACAACTATACACCGCTATTCCCGATTCTCGTAATCCTATCAACTCGTGCAAATCACCATAATTAAACACGGGAACTTCATTAATTCGTGTAAATTTTATTTTCCAGCAGGACACAGTACGGGCTAGGATTCGTAAAATGAGACATCTATGGTGGATTATCTTGTCGATTGTCATTGTCACGAGCAATGGTGACGATGTTCAATGCCCTCAGCACTATTGCAACTGCAATCAGAATACCAAAGGCGGCACCGAAGTACGCTGCCTTACAATAAACGATTCATACATCGTCATAAACGTTATACCTATCAGCAATTCTATTGAGGTGAGCATGCACGACTCAACAATACTCTGCGAGGAGGATCTACGGAGTCGAATCTGCGAGAAGACAAAAGGAAAATTCTAAAAAGAAGTTATCGTAACGATAACGCAACTGAATGAAGAGGCGTGATAAATTTTCGTCTAATAAATTGTTTGCCGATCGCTGTTATTTTATTAAATAATTGAAAAATAACGTAAAGGTTTATTCTCAAAAAATGTAAACTTCAAATCTCAAGCGTCATTTAAAATTCACACAAGGGAAGATTGGTAATTAGAAACTTACGAAAATTGGAAACAACACGGATACGTAATAGTTCCTGCGATGCCTTATATTGTCACGAATATTTAAGAAAATATAAAAGTAGTGGATGAAAAGTTAAATTAGAAGGTGTAGTATACATAGCGTGTCTTACACGTCTTATTCTTGGAATACCTCAGAAACGCGGTGGGTTTTAGGATACCTTACTATACTTTTATACTCAGAATACATCAATCTCTCAAAATCCAACATAAAAAACTGGACATTTCATTTAAAGAAACAATGTTGACTTCTATATCTCCTCTAAGTAACATTTGAAGCAGCCGAGATATTTAAGTGAACAGAGTTCGTGGGACACGCTGTATATGTGTAGCAAAAATTGAAACGTCAAAGATTTCGTGCCATTGGGCATGGTTAATAAAATGTAAAAATTTCTTTGGAAAGGGGCCTTCCCTCTTAGAATATATTTTAGCAGAAATAAAGTGGTTCCATTATCAGTATCGTATGAACTACATTTGGTGAAAATACAAATTTATTCCCAATTTACCAACTGACAAGTAAAGAATTGAATTTAATTGTAGTTGCTAAGGATTGGATTATAGAACTTGCGTATATACATATTTCTGAATGTTTGGATAATTAGATATACTTGTAGCATGCGTGACTTATTTTGAGACCGTCTTGCGTTGGGTACTACAACCCCTGACAAAAAGTACTCGTTCACCTTTTGAAAGGCAATAACTTTTTTAAAACACCACTTGAATTTTTTTAAAAATGTTAAAGGTAATATTTTGCAGTGCAATTACTAAAATACTTTTTAATTTTGCTATTATTTGGAATGAGACAAAAAAAAGAAATACTTATTCTTTAATTTTTTTATTTGAACCTAGGGTGATAATTTACAAAATGCGTTTTGTAGGCCTTAAATGACTTATATGCATACCGAAGATGTTATAAAAATTGGTTGACGTTGTTATGAACTGCAAGCAATTGAAGATTGTGAAAATCGCAATTTTTTGTGAATTTATACCAAAAGCGAGTAATTTTGTAGCTTGACAATGCATCAACCGATTTCAATGAAATTTTCAGTTTGCATATAAGTTATCGAGATGTACAAAATACTATTAAATATTTCTTAAATTTTCGTTCCAGGTTTAGATAAAAAAGTTAAAAAAACATGTGTTTTTGTCTTCTGTTGTCATTTTATGTAATAGCAAAATTTAATCAAAAGTGTGCTGGTCATTGTACCGTAAACTAGTCCCTTCATAATTAAAAAAATATTCAAGTCACATAGACTTGTTCGAAAAAAGTTATCGTGTTTTAAAAGGTGATCAAATACTTTTTACCAGGTATTGTATTATTTGTACCTTAAATTTTAATAATTTAATTTTATGCAAAGAATAAGTGACAAATAGCAATTTCTTTTGCTTGTTTCTATTAAAGAGGATGATTTTCTAAGTACAAATTTGATTACGCCTTGTAACCTTAAATGATACTAATGTAAAATTTGATGCGAGTCTGTCTTTACGGTAATGACGAGGTCGTGGTTGATTTAAATGAAAAATATATTCCTTTTATTTCAAGTTTTTTTTAAATTTCTTTCTATCCGTAGCAGTTTCTACCACGAGTCACTAAGGATAATTCCCCTATTATTAGTTATAAATTCTTATATCACTTTATGTTATTAATTTTTGATAAAATAAGTTAGCAAACCGAGGAAGAAACATCACCTATTAATTTCATTTTATTCTGTAATATATATTTGCAGTTTGCATATTTACATATGTGCTGTTCTTAAGGTTAAACACACATCTTATTTGCAATACTTAGGCAAAGAAGACCTTGTAAAAATTGCTCTGATCAATCCAGCGAACAATTCGTTCCTCGGATTTCCAATAATTTCTGCACAATACAAAATTATGTTTGCTTTATTCCTTTACGCTGATCTTTTGTGTCTTTAATAATTTAAACATTTAGAAATGTTTTTAACCTGTCCATAAGATCTCAATAAATTTCAAATAATTTACCGGAATTAAATTTCGATCATAAGATTCATTGATTTCTTTATTTTCTGTAGTATTACGAGCAAGAACTTCCTACTTTATGTAATATACGACGTAACACAACGTGTGATTATAACCAATTCCACGGTAAAAAAAAAACAATTAATAATTCAAACAATGGTAGTATAGTTACATAATGTAACGATTTTAATTTCCTGTAGTAAATTTTTTTTTGTTTCATATTGAGGAATATAGATCATACATATATACAGAGTGTCCCAAATTATTGTATAAGCGGAAAATGCGGGGTTCCTGAGGTCATTTGAAGTAACTTTTTCTTTAGTGAAAATGTAATCCGCGGCTTCGTGTTTACGGGTTATCAACGAAAAACAGTGACCAATGAGAGGCGAGCTCGCCTAGTGCTAGGCGACTGAGCCGAGTGGAGGAAGCACAGTTCAGCTGATTGGCTCGGTCGCCTAGCGTTAGGCGAGCTCGCTTCTCATTGAGCAGTATTTTTCGATAGCTGGCTAAGAAAAACCATTCTATGTAAAATCTCAATACGATTTCAAAAGTACATTTTTGAGGTTTCAAAAATATTTTATATTAAAGGTGCTACTTATATTTCAACGCAGAAACGTTTAACATTACATAATAAATATACAGATTAAGTTGACAAATTCAAGTATAACTCAGTTTTTCATGGAAAAATCGTTGACAGCTCAATTTTTATTTTGTGCGACATTACTCCACATTACTACAAACAATCAGACAAAAAATTGACAATACTGCTTTTGATAATATCCTTCGATAGAATTAATATGTCGAAGGCGACAATTTTTGTTTTCGAGAAATCTGTAATTTTCTGATTTTTTAAATTTAATTTTTATTTCTTGTAATCACGGCTTGCAACCGAAAAAACTGATGAAAATATTCCCCAACATTCGGTTTGTAATTAAAAATAGGCCAGATTTTTTTACAAAATTTTAAGAAGTCGCCGAAGGGGGAAAGTTGACGAAAAAACGCGTGATCTAATTTACCCTGCAACTACCCTTCCGGTCAACTATCGAACGGCATAATATGCGTTGAAATCGAAATGCGTCAAAATGAAATTGACCATCTTATTTGTATTTACAATGTTCAGTTACGGAGTATGAGCTGTGGAGAAAGTTTTGCTAGCATTGTTTTTAAATTTTAGGAGAATTTAAGTTTAAGTATTTAGGAAGTCTCAAGCTTCCCTATTATCCACAAAAAAATATCTTTTTCCAAGCTCAATTGCCATATTATGCCTATTAGATATGTCCCCTTTATAGTATAGATAATGTTAGAAGAATTGACAATTTTTTTTTATTAAAAATCGGAAATAACTTCTCTTCGCAAGATCCACAGATATCTTTCGGTGTGTGTTTTTCTTGTCAGTAAAATATAGGGTGTCTCAAAATTATGGCACTTCTGGGAAATGTGGGGTTCGTGAGGTCATTTGAAGAAATTTTTTCCTTAGCGAAAATGTTTTATGAGGCTTTGTTTACGAGTTTATTAATGAAAAACACGAGCCAATCGGAAAGCAAGCATTATGCAGCGGCATTTTTCGCTCCTGGAAGTACCATAATTTTAGGACACCCTGTATTCTTGGTTGATTTTTCTCATATTACACCAATATTAGCGGGTAAATGGGTAAAAAATGTATTCTAATTTCATAAATTTCTTCAAATGCATTAACAAATTAAAATAGCAAATTATATTTACATGCGTCTTGTACATGACTGGCCATCCTCATTAAAAAATACTGTTTCAGATACAGTGTTTAAACTCGGCGAAATGGTCGGACTTCCGTGTGCCGAAATTGTTTCCTACCCGAAAAGTGGATTCTGTGTTCTTCCAAATGTGTAAATTGCCTACGAACAAGAGCCTAGCAGATATCGCGCACGAAATTGGCGCGCAGGATGTGGAGACTCTAGCATTCCAATCTTACGCTGACAAGAGCATGTACCTGACCAAGAAACACCTCGCGGGATTCCCAAAATTGCAACGGTTGATCCTGTCATCGAACAATTTCAGCGACCTCAGCAACGATTTATTCACAGACATGCCCGAGCTCACGTGGCTCGACTTGCGAGCAAGCAATGTCCACCTACGGTCGGACTTGTTCCAAAACTCTGTCAATCTGACGGTGCTCGAGTTAGCTCAGAATAGAATAAGCAGTATAGAACCAGGTGTATTCGATAAATTGACGAAACTGACGTTGCTCAACTTATGGCAAAACAGATTGACGAAGATCGAGCCTGGCACGTTCGACAAGTTGGCTTCTCTGCAGTCCTTGGATATCAACACGAACGATTTGACCACTTTGCACGAAGGTGTTCTTCATAATCTTAGTAATCTTGAGGTTTTGAATTTATCCGCAAACAACTTTTCGTTGTTGCCGGAGGGTCTATTCCAACAGAACAAAAAATTAAAGACCGTGAATATGTATGGGAATAAAAGAAATATGACAACTTTTCCCAGAGGGCTGTTTGCGAATCTAACAAAACTAACGTCGGTACAGCTCAGAAGCAACGGTTTAATTACGGTGCCGGAAGATTTGTTTCGAGGTTCCACCTCAATAATCAAAATCAATTTGGAGGGAAATTATCTTGCGTCCCTTCCAAAGGATATATTCAAAGGACTGTGCAATTTGTCGACGCTAAATCTCAACTTCAATGAATTGACATCGCTGCCTGATGAAATTTTCGCAGATACAAAGTCTTTAACCAAGATTGACTTATCAAAAAATCATATTGTTTCAATATCCAGGTAAAATATTAGCAGCCTAGTGTTATTTCAATTGCTACGAACATATCCAATTCTAAGTTACCGATTGTAATCAAATTTGACACACACACACTCTCTATTCTTTACAAAAATATGATTCATTTTTGTGTTATAACGTTCTCTTTAAGTCCATTAGTTTTCAGGACATCGTTATTCATTGTTTTTTTTATCGTTTTCAGAACGATAGTTATTTATCTCCTAAACATGAAAATGTACAGCTACAATCTACATCAGTACAAAATTTCATTACAATCGATGTCCGTTGTTAGATGCATGGTTACGTGCTTAGCATGTTTTCCTAACAGACTATTCAAATCATTACAGGCACTTATTTAAAGATTTGGTATCACTGATCGTATTGAACATGTCACAAAATCATTTACAAGTAATCGAAGACACAAGCTTCAAATCTTTGGAATCGCTAAAAATTGCCAGTTTTTCCAACAATTTGCTCACGTTCAATAATTCTTTGAATGCGTACCATGACGAATATGGGAACAAATCACCGTTTCATCATTGCTTCTCTCTAGAAGAATTGTACCTCGATAATAATAATATTTCTGAGATATTTGGTGATTGGACTATAACCAGCTTAAAATTGAAAATATTGGATTTGAAATACAATCGGATACCTTATATTTCGGTGAGTATACACATTAATTATGCCTACAATGTGCTATAAGTTTGAAATTCTATATGCAATATTTCAGAGTGAAGATCTGCAATTCACATCAAATGAGATTAATGTTGATCTGAGGTATAACAATATAACCCACATCTACTTACACAGTCTTGAAAAGATAGCAAGTACTCAAAGAATCGCACGTCCTGTAGTGATACAAGTGGAGGACAATCCAATAGCTTGTGATTGTGATTTGTACGATTTACTTCGTTATTTGGAAGGAAAAATGCACCCCTATGTTCAAAACTATTTTCATATTATACCAGGAAATTTAATATGCCAAAGTCCAAAATGGTCAATGAATATATCTGTATCGCATCTAAAATCTGAAACCTTGAAATGTGAAGTAACGAACCCATGTCCAACAAGTTGCTCGTGTTGGGCAAAACCATACTTGGGAGCTTTCTTAATTGATTGCTCCTACAGGAACTTAACAAGCATCCCGCGCAACATTCAATTTCTACCACGTCACAAACTTGAATTAAATTTTGAGGGTAATAAATTAACTCAACTGTTACCCCTAACAGGCCTTGGCCTAAGCAATGCAACAATATCGAAGCTGCTTCTGTCAAATACAAGTATCTCGAGTGTACCCTTGGATATATTATCATCCGATCTTGAGGTGAGTTTATAATTTTTAAATTTCGTATTCTGCATTATAAAGTATAAATATAAATGTATTAAATGACTTGTGATCAAAATAATACTGTAATGCTATTAGTACATCTACATGATTAATAATACTGACGGTACTACACGTGTCATTAATACTGATAATATTGGTGATCAAGTATCAAAATACATATTAAAAAATACTAATGTTTTTTTATCTTATATTTAAATTTTGAAGTCATTCTATTCAGTATATTATATTAAAATGTTTCAGGTTTTAGAGCTACATTACAACAATATTAGCAGATTGAACTCTGATGTCTTACAATTCATGAGCAATTCTACAAAGTTGCAGAATATTACGCTTTATGGAAACCCGTGGGCATGCGACTGCGATGCTAGAGATGTTCTAAATTTCATTCAAACGGAAGTTACTAAAATTTCATTATCTTCGCTGATTAAATGCAGAGATACGACCATTCCAATGCTAAAAATGACAGCTACCGACTTTTGTCCTGCTGAAACCGCCATCATTATAGGAATCTGTTTAACAGTAGCAGTTACTGGAATGTTAATTGGTGTGTTAGCAGCACTGTACTACCGATATCAAAATCAGATTAAAGTTTGGCTATACGCGCATCAATTCTGCTTGTGGTTAGTAACCGAGGACGAATTAGACAAGGATAAATTATACGATGCTTTCATAAGTTATTCGCATAAAGATGAAGAGTTTGTTGTGAACGAATTAGTGACCAAGTTGGAAAGTGGTTCCAGACCGTTCAAACTGTGTTTACATTTCCGGGACTGGTTAGCGGGAGAATGGATACCAAATCAAATAGCTCGTTCCGTCGATGATTCGAGGAGAACCATAGTCGTATTGTCACCGAACTTTTTAGAAAGTGTTTGGGGACGAATGGAATTCAGAGCCGCCCACAGACAGGCCCTCAGTGAAGGCCGAGCAAGAGTTATTCTAATCCTATATGGTGAGATTGGTGCTATCGATAATTTGGATTCAGAACTTAAAACCTATTTGAGCATGAACACCTACGTAAAGTGGGGCGATCCTTGGTTCTGGGATAAATTGCGATACGCGCTACCGCATCCGCCAGAATTGACAAAGAGCAGGATTAGGAATAAAATTTTTGAAAAACATCAACCAACTATACAAATTAATGGTGACAAAAAGGAACTCATTTATCCAAATAGTGACTCGATAACGCCACCTGCGGCAAGTACTCCTCCAGCAGACACTATTAAAATATTCGAATGTGACAACGTAAACGAAGTTCAAAGGGAAAGCTTGGAAAAACAAAATGTATCGAATAGTAATGTCACAGTTGTCATCTCGCCTGAACAATTGATGAAGAATAATTTAATTAACACGGTACAATGTACCATGGTATAATATAAGACAAATATGTATATTACATAAGGACTGATACAAACCTTCGAGACTGAACTTGTTCAAATCTTGTATATTATCTTACAATAAGTACTATTTTATGAATTTCAATACTTAGAAATAATAAAATTTGATTAGGATTTTATTATACTATTTAATTCAATCAGTACAGCAACAACTTAGTGACACAATTGTTTCGAGATATCAGCTTCAAGTTATTAAAGTAATTTCAGTCTCGAAATTATATTATACATTTTTTGAATGAGTGAGTGAATGGGTATATATCTTTTACTAATACTTATTGATTGGTATGT